CACTTCAGACTGTTTGTTGCATGCAGCATTCATGGAGGGGGTTAGTCCATCAGCCTCCACCTATCGCAAGCTTCGAGAGCGGCAGCGGGGGGGAGGGGGGGAGGAGGGGGTACTGCGGCAGCTTCAAACCTGCGGGATGGTCAGGCGGACTAGGCCACCCACCATGCGAGGAGGGGGGTCTTCAGTGGTTTGTCAGCTTTGGGTTCCGAGTGGTCCCGCTTGACCCAACCCCCTCTACAAATATCAAAACCCCCATATCTCCCAAAGCAGATGGTAGTTTCCCTAAATAAGGGAACCCCAACATAGACCCCAATATGCTAGAATCCTTACTATGGGGACCCCTAAAATGGTACCCCTAATTTTGGGAAACCCCCAAATATTCCCCAAGTAGATCTTGGTACCATACTGGGAATATTTGTCATTAAGGGATTGGGATGCTTAGGCAGGGAATGATTGCTTCTAGAATAGCATTAGGGTTGATACAGGTAATGTGACACCTATATGTAGCTACAAATTTCGCTTTTAGCATACATGGCATCGTTTGGGGTTTGTGAGTTCTAGGGCAATATAGGCATGGGGGGGAAAATCGAGCAATCCTGGGATGCAGTACAGCTTGGAGGCCTTGTACCACGCACTTCATGAGAGCAGGTTGTTGAAGTTATTCCATCTTCAGCCCTTAACTTCACCTTCCTGGACCTAAACTCTTCACGCTCGTGCCCCATACCAAGAAGACTATGATCAAAACCCTTTGATTATCTTCCAGCGCAGTCCTAATTTCAACCTCCGAAATATCCAGTCCAAACGTTGGTTCTGAGGGCTGAAATGGCACATCTTCAATACTTGCAGGGGTTCCATCATACAAATATTAGCTGACGTAAGAGAATAATGATAATGTCACATAGTGATACGGGTAACGGTGGTAGTACTATTACTGCCACCACTACTAGAACTATCACGACTAATACGAAGACGACTATGATTATCCCACAGCACGAGGTACGACGAGCCTGAAGTGATCGTGAACCCCATGAAGGCATCGTGGTTCACCCAACCCTAAACCCTAATCCCTTAACCCTAAACCCTAAACCGAACTGTGAAGCATAATATTTCGGGTGTAGGGGTTGGGAGTTCTTTCTGGTTTAGAGCGGGTGTTTCCAGAAACTACTGGTGTTTGGGTTATGAGGGAGCATGTAAGGGTATATAGGGCTTGGAAAATAATAGGTGGTCCCTTTTCGGGGGGGGCCCTTACTGAGGCTCGTCGTATTTGGGCCATGGATAGGGGCCCTGGCTTTTGAATGCTTAATTCATGGAACCTCCCAACGATGAATTTAGTTTCCCAGTGTAGCAATGGGTCATTCCGCGTGGTTCCATTCCTGGTCCCATAGAGAGTCCGGGTACAGTGTATGCCAACTGGATCCAACTGTTGACCTAAGAGCCGCAGAACCCTAAATTTCTCAATCACTGCCCTTGAACCTCAACAGAACATCTCAAAGCCATCCACTTGCCAAGCATTGCTAAAACCCCGAGCTCTCAACCCCTAACACAGGAAGCCCTCCAGCGCTTGAACCTCAGCCGTACGACAACACGACAATCTTAGAAGTAAAGGCTTCCGAATTTCCACCATGGTTATACGGTAGCAGAGCACCCAGTGCAAAAATGGAACGAACCTCTCAAGAATCCCTAGTCCATCCCCATAATCGCCTGGTTTCCCCAATGGGTCACTCAGGTCATTGTCAAAGGGGTTCCATGTTTGTTGGATTCCGTACTAGGATGCCCATGGGCTTTTTTAACTATTTAAAACTGGGATTATCACCTCGTTTATAATTGGGGTAAACCTTATAAGCCAATTTAGGTGGATTAACAGCAGGGTTATAAGCCCAGTTATACGTGGTTACTAAGTCCCACGGGCCTCCAAGTAGGGGTCTGGGTACTGGCAAACCCCGGAGAAGGCGCAGCCCATCTTTGCGCTTACTACTCTGTTCCCCCGATTATGGGAGATAATGAAGCTGGGCAGCAATGCTTCTGTGACTTTCTGGTGGCTAGTAGGCAGTACAACCAAATAGGGTAGAGGGCAGCGGGGAAGGGACAACATAGGGAGTAGTAGGGATTCAGTCCCCCCATTCCCAGGCAACCACGAAGAAGTGTTTGACTAACAGCTCAAGTCCCCGCATTTAGGTTATTTTATCTGGGTGCTTCACTTAAATTGAGGTGGTCTCTAAAACAATGAGTCTACAGTTGATGGCTTGGGGTTTTCTACTGTGGTGGACTGCACATTAGCTTGCAGTGTTGGGTCTCATGAGCACACTTTCTGTGGGGGCTCTGGCTTCAGCCTTTAACAAGGACACCGGAATCGCAGCTGCTGACAGTAAATGTGGGATTAGGGTTTTCCCCGATCCAAGGTTGCTTTCTTAGAACTTTGAGTTTCAACCGCTTGCTCATAACCTTCAGTGTATTGTTCATCGCAGCATCGTCATGCTCAGTGTTACTCTTGCAATAGAAGTACAGCATCTCTTCACCAAACTCTGCATGGATTTCAATGGATACCTTCCTGTTTTTTGGCCACGTGAAAGAAGACATGAGTCCCTTCAATGAGCCTCTTCTTGGGCTAGGCATTTGGGTCAAAGTAGCCACTGCTCATGAGAGTATACTATCCCCCAACGACATGAAACCACAAAAACCCAGTCTTGGTCGGGCTCCTTGTGGTGTTCCATGTTTTGTTGGGAAGGTGTCCACCCCCTACAATCCCTAGGCCGCCTGTTGGTAGAAAACTTGGACTGGTGCTGGGGATAGACTAAATCTTGCGGCGGCCTCAACGCCAACTCCGTCCCTGCAACATATGACTTTTGAGGTAATTATAGATCAACCTCTGAGGCTGGAGGATTCAGGATTCCATGGTCAGGGCTCTAGGCTTTGGAGTCTAGAGTTTGCAGTAGCATAGGTGATGCAGGCATCCTTTCCCATTAAACCGCAACACCTGCAACTTCGGACTACATACCGCAGCGCTGAGGCATGAAATTTAGGCCATAAAACGTTTCAAGTCGCAGTTGCAATGAGAATGGGAAACACCATAACAGTTAGCAAAAGGCATGCAAACAACAGCAATACCCGTTTTCAACCATGGACATCCCCCACAGCAGCATGGTCCTTCTGGGCGTAGTTGTTAGGAAGTCAACGACCCTGAGGAGCCCCCAAACAGCAAGGAAAAACCCCTGAACCCTAAACTCTAAGGTTTCCAATCTTGAAAGCCTTGGGACTCGATGGTCTCCATCTTTTGCGGAATGAGGCTGTCCAATTCGAAGCTGAGCAATCCAAGGGTTGATAGCAAGGACATTCTTGCAGGTAACTAGCAGGGAAGAAGGAGTCCAAAAGGAAATGGAAACTACCATATTCTGGTGTTTGTATAGGGGAGCTCCTCCATGCTCTAGTTGCCACCATCTGCGTGCCTTCATGAGGATCCTAAACCTAAAAACAATTCCCAAAAGGACCAAACATTGAAGGTGCCTCACTCCAAAAAGAAAAGCCTCCACCCTATCCACAACGTCCTGCCACTTTGGATTGTTCGATTTTCGGCAGAGCTCCCCCATGTTCCTGTACTTGGAGGGTCAGGGGGGCTTAGTACATGGGTCGGTAATGGACATGTCTAGGGATCTTTGTGAATAAGAGGGTGAGAAAGCGCACTTGCTAAGATCCCCCGACCCTCAGGTACTTCATCCGTTGGCAATCTCTATCATTTGGCTTCAGGTAGGGGCGTCGTTGATAAGGAACCCCATAGGGAATCCCATGGTAGATCCCTACCTGTCCCAGCGTACCCAAATTTTGAAAATCTCCGAAATTTAGATTCGACTGCTTGGGGCAGCTGGATTGTTGAAGTTGAAAGTTGGGATTGGATCCATGGGAAATGGTGGAAACTACCTGTGTGGAGCTGTTACTTGAAGACTGCAACATATCCCAAAGGTCTATATGGATTGTTGTCAGATTCTGGTTCACCCTTGGGTACCCCAAACATTCCGGGCCATACTATGTCAGAGACCCAATGAAGTTTGACAACCTGCCACATGGCTTACAACTTTGAACCTCTTTGAGCTCATTGGATGGCAAACGAGAGGTTGCTGATGCCTGCTTAGGGAATCCCGAGAAGAGAGAAGCGCACATCAACGTGTGGATCCTCTGAACCGGGTTCTGGGGGACGTTTTCCAGGGGTTCGGGTTTGAAAGTAAGACTCGTTCATTTACGTGCTTCTGGACCCCTACTGAGACACTGGTAGCGCTGTTTGAGCGAAGAAAATCTGCGTGGACCATTCCCGGGGCTTCCTAGGTATTGAGAGCTCTACATGGGTGATCCCATTATGAAAACTAGAACTTTTGTCCCATATCTGTGCATAATTATTTATGTACACATGTGTAAATATATATATAAACATAAATATGTGTAGACATGTATATGTATCTGTATCCGTAGAGGGACCCTTTGTTTTGGGAAATGCCCGCCGATGGAGATGACAGTCAAGCTAGCATGAGGGCCTGGGCCGAAAGATTGGCGAATACGTATGTTGCGAGTATGGGCGGTGGAGGGTGAGGTTTTTTCCTTAGGCCCTAAACCCTATATACCCTATAAACCTATAAAACCCATAGACCTAGATACCCTACATGACCTATGTAACCCCTATATAGCCCAAGGAAGGGTGCCTATGATAATCAATCTACTTTTGATAGGTAGCGACATGAGGTAAGCTTTCTGCTGGGTCTTGGTGAATGTACCTAGGGCTTCTCAGGAGTTATGGTGAGTGGGTGAGTATATGTGGTGTCCATACATTAGAAGTCTGCCATACATGGGGTTCCCAATCTTCAGCATCCCTCCCGGTAATATTGGGCGCACAAGGTCTCCTGTAGGGAATGCTGAGCGATACTGTAGACCAATAGCTAATAAACCCCTTCCCTTGATTGAAGGGCCTTAATATTAGGATCACTACTATAATCCCTATAATGAGAGGGGGTTTATTAATCATGTGTCTACATTAGGCTTTGTTTGAGGGAGGGCATCCTGGGCTTGGGAAGTCCCAAAAAAATAGCGGGCTTGATAGCACAGAGGCCAAGCTTATGTAGGGGGCCTGAATACGTAGAATAGGTGTTGGGGCATATTCTATGTTTGTTGAATAAGAACTACAAGAGGAAATTCTTAATTATTAGGCACGTAGGTTCGTTTTGGGCTCGGGTGCAGGTTGCTGGCGACAGTTTATCGTTTCATTCTTGCCTCAGCAACAAGATGACAGTTACTCTGAAGGAAGCTAATAAGCTTATATGTAGGGTACACTCCTGAAGGTATCACTAGTTGAGAGAAAACTGGTTCTGAGAAATGTTATGACATTGATGTTTGTGAACATTTTCCCCTAGGTCAGCACTACTGCAGAGCTTGGATGGCGTGCCAAACATACGCAGTGGTACTGGGGTCCATATCTCTTCATAGACGGACGACGGATGAAGAAATGCACCGCAAGTTGGCAAGCTAAGGTTTACGGCTGGGAACTAACATCCTCGAATCTTATCAGCGCTTTGCACGTGTGCTGCCCTACGAACAAGAATTTCAAGTCCTCAGCTTTTCCTATTGCATGTCATTTGCATCTAACAAACCCCTAGACTTTAGCCTCGTACTTGACGAGCTAGTCAAAAATTTGGATTCTGTTCAGGTCAATTCCTAGGAAACCCACCCACGAGACCTGGCTTGACAACTACCCATCAAGTGCTTCGTTGTGCTGGTGCCGCAGCCATTGGTGGCTTCCATTTCGCAAAGTAAGGCTTGCAAGCTTGGAGCGAGATCTGCATCTAGCTGGCGGGTCCAGGGTACTCAGTAAATAACTGTGGCTATTAGTTGGCACATAGGGATTATAAGTATAGTTGCTCAGTCCCCTGACCCCCAGGTAGAATCTAGAAGCTTCACCAGGATCGGTGTAGCAGTAGCCATGTAGGATTCTAGGGGAAATGGCTTAGGTATTGCAGCCTGTCAGCGAGAATCACCTTGTCTGCCGACTAAAGGGAGCGGCTCCCCAGCACATCTTCGAACAATTTGAAACCCACATGCCCAACACCAGCCTTATACCTAAAGTCCAAGCACTCCAGACCACAAATTACACTTTGATTGCGATGTGGATGGATGATGGAGCCTGCTATTACGATGCATGTCCCTGTGATCTGTACAGTTCTGATGAGGACTGCCTGTAGCAGGATCTAGTCTATCGGGGTATGAGGTTCAGGGGCGGAAGGGGTTCCCATCGTGTAACCTTTTTGTCTTCCCTTTCATTCCTATTTAAAACGAATCTTGCTCAGATGGTCTATGTCCCCCGCAGCCTGTAATCTTATGTAATCTTGTCCCCGAAAGTTTGGGTCTACAACTAAGGTGTAGAGGCTTAGAGCTAAGAAAATTTCGGGGTTGGCACGTTCCTGGAGGCCCATGATGCTCACAAACGTTTCCATGTGATGTCGTGCGGTATTTACTTATTGGCACCATCCCTTCCCATGAAAGCTCTCAGCATATGTGTACAAAGTTTCTCTGCCTCAGATAGCCGAATGAGCCCCCGCCTTTCAACCTAAATCCCCAAAGCTTGGGAGCCTTTCCTCAATGTTAGCAGGACTTCAGCATTGAGGACCTGCACGTTGATGGCTACAAGGAGGGCGTACCTGGCCTTGAGCCAGACCGCTGAGCACTGAAACTATTAGTGATAGTCAAGATGGTTGTGTACTGTGTAGGGAGGAAATCCTCCGCCACTTGAGATACCTAAGGTATTGTACTTCCCCTTCTTGAATGTATGTAGTATGTCTGCATGTAGGGTCTGCATGATTTCTTCCATCCTCCGTAGCAGCCATGCTCAAGTAGAAGTACCAAAGTGATGTTGGTGGTCGACAAACATGACATATTTTTGCTGTTGTGTCAACTTGCTGGGGTCAAGCTTCGAGGTGTCTATCTGGTGCCCAGTAGGGAACATGCAAGTGCACACCAGCGATCGCGGATATCCCTGATAGACCGCGCTAAGACGACAGCTTGCTTCGCAGAAAGTGGTTGGAGGGGGAAGTTCCACTCAACGAATGAACCCACACAGCGGCAAGCCATGAGATCGATTCTCTTGAAAGGATACTCCCTATAAATCCCTGTAAGAATCAAAATCCTGCCCCTACGCATCCTAATGCCTCTGCCGTACAAGACATCTCTGAAAATCACCACGAAAAGCTTGATTCCCTGCGCACCCTGAATCTTTAGACGGGGTAGCCTCAATACTGAACAGCAATGTAGGGGCCTATTCAACTAGCACATTTCGCTGAGGTTCTAAGGCATATATAGGATTGAGGTTGCAAACAATGATGCCTCTGTGATCCATGAGCCCAAGCTCTGCAAGTAGGAGGTCGGGATATGGGAATAAATGGTTTAGGGCCTGGAGTTCTGTGTCCAGGCCAGGTGGTGAGAATCTCATTTTGCTACAGCTCCTTGACACTGCAAAGGCTCCTGACTGCAGGGTGGCAACCCTCTACCCTCTGCACAGCATCGTCAGCTCCAACCGAAGGGCACACACGCACACGTGGTGCAGTGGCAAGAACCGAAGACAACATGCTAACAGAGACAAGGGTCACAGGATGACTAGCTCCACTGCGCAGGCCTGAGTCACAGCAGTTCTATCTCAAGATCAGATCCGCCGCAACAGTCTGAGATCCGAAGGTCTTAGTCTGAAGCTCAAGACTGCTTCAAACCAAACTCCTCAGCCTGTACCCTCCAATTCCTTCGAGCCTGAATTCTTGAGGTATTGACGGAATTCATCAAAAAATGCAACGATCGGGATGGCGGCACACGTGTGGATTGCAATCAGGCCTGAGCAGTTGAATGAACTCAAAGGGTTCAAGTACAGATAAGTACATGTTAGACTTTGGACCCCAAAGTGCCCCTACTCTTGACTCGAAAAATCCTGCATCACTTTATAAGATACTGTAGAACAATAGCTCGACCATGCGGATTTTCATTATCGAGGTACCACATGGATACTCACTCGGGCACTTTGTGTCGGCCAAGGATTCAGTTACGCTGGGTTTGAGGCTAACAGCTTGGCATGGCAACTGCGCTTCTCAAGAACATGAAAAGTGTTATTTGTATCTGAATTCAAAATCATCCAGAAATTGCGGTGTTCATTTGCATCTGAACTCAAAATCATCCAGAAATTGCCATGTCTATGTGTATCTGAACTCAAAATCACCCAGAAATTGCCATGTCTATTTGTATCTGAACTCAAAATCACCCAGAATTGCCATGTTTCAGGGTACCCAAGGCAAATTCCTATCAGCTTTGGAAAGCTCGGCCATCCAGGTTGCAAAGCCGTTTTAACTTGAAAGTGCGTCTTCAACCGCAAGCGCTTGCAGGCCGTCAAGGTCTACATTGACGTGAACCCCCATGAGCTGAAGAAGATTGATGACCAAAACGAAGAGCTTCGCGGCAGCTTTTTGTAGACTTTAATGGTTTATAGTATATTAAGATTATGTAGGGATAATACCCCAATAATGGAGAATCAAATGGAAAAGAAAATGGAAAATGAAATGGAAACTGTGATTGCTGCTCCGCTGATTTGGGGATCCCGGCCTAGACTCCCAATATGAGCTATAATCTAAACTCCTTTAAGGGGGTTATATAAGGGATTCTATAGGGGACTAATACAGGGCTTATTGAGGGGATACTAGGTTTAGACTAGAGCTCATGTACGGTCATCCTTAAGCCCCAAGTGGACTGACTGGTTAGGACGTGACTCCCCTCAGCTGATTGTGTTTCAGAGGCGCAAGCTTACAATGCTCCGAGAGGAGGATGATGGAAAAGAGGCAAATTTCAGCACCATGCACCAGCAGTGGAGTGGTGTGTTGTAGAAGCCTGAATGCTTACCAATCTCACCCTAGAAGCCTGAATACTTACCAATCTCACCCCCTCATGGTTCGTATGTGCTTGTGGTGCAATATGCTCCTAAAGGCCTGTTTGAAGTAGTGTTGCATCTACATTAGATTTCTTGATCAGAGCACGGTCAATTCTTATTGCCATGGTTATTCTGTTCTAGTCCTGCCCTTCTAAGGTTTTCCATGATCTTCGTGCTGAAGCTGTTCTGGTTGGATCCTGACCTCAAACACTTCGAGACGACATTGACCGTGCGCAATCCCGACGACTCGCTTGAGGCGGGCTGGAAGCATAGGGATCTGCTGCCAATACGGATAATGGAAAAGGAATGGAAAATTACTATCTGGGGTTATACAGGGTTACAGAGGAGCTATACAAGCGTTTCCAAAAACTGCCCAAAAACCCCCAAAAGCCCCGCGATGAAGAAATGTACCTTCAACTCTGCTAAGGTTCTTAGCATAAATTAGACTCATAGTTCCTGATGAAAGGTTTAGGAAACCTGCATGGTTCGGCTTGGTTTTGGTGCTTGTCGCCACCCTGGACTTGCTGGATGATTTCAGGGCAGTCTAGATGGTTCGGTTTCAGGTGAGGTGGTCTACATACTGCTTGCTCCTCACGGCAAGGGCAGTGATCCCTTCACGTTTAGTTTTGTTGCTTTCCAGAATATAGGAGACTTTGCGGCTGTATGGGCACATGGGGTCTGTTTGGGCACTCCCTGTGTAGGCACTAGTTTAGAGAAACCTGTTTGAGATCTCACTGAGAATTGTCCAACTGCTGGCACGGGGAAAGCGCATCAAAGTTAGCGATCTACCGTGACTGCGTGTAAAAGAACCAGCAAAGCAGGGGTTTGCCGACATAAGGCTTATTCATGGATTGGATAGTTTGCCATACCGGAATCTGAAGTGAAACTCACACCTGACATCTTAGAATTCCAGTCTTAATGGTGGACCCAAACCATAAAGAGACAACCCCCAAAGCCCAAGAGCCAAGCCTTGAATCCATCCCACAGATCCTGTCGAGGCCCATTTGCGCGACATGAGCCTCGACCTCTGTGATTTCCACTTCATTATACTAAATTCGTCTCGGTTCTTGTTCAGGACCTTGTGTGTGGACAAGTCTTTTGCTTCGTCCTCATTCTATAACGATCTGTGAAGGCAGTAAGGGGCTCTGTGTGAGCCAGAGCAAATGTGCTATGTATTGGATTCGCTGTGCAGAATTTTGGTCCAACAGTGAGGTCTCTGTGCGTGTACGTGAAACCGCGCTGAATTTGTGATTTATGAAGCTTGCTGGCGCGCAATGCAAGTGCAAAGTTGGCACAACAGGGGCCATACAAATATTGGACACCATTTCTGGCAGCAGGTGGGGCCACTGCTTCCTGGTTTTCCATGTCTGGCTGCTCGCATTGTCCTTGTGCTCTACTGTCCCGAGAAACCTCTAGACATCCAGGTTCACTGTGTAGGGGGCACACTCAAGTCAGATCCGAGGAAAGTGTTGATTACAAAGATGTGCCTCGAGCAACTTTTGGATTACTTTTTCAGCTTTGCTGCTATGACATCTCATGGATGGCTGAGACGTAGCCTAAACTCCGGTCTATAGACTTCTCGAGATAAGTCAATGAACCCAGGTTTGCAAATGGTGACCTGGAGTATGTGGACCTCAGCAATGGGCCCAAGCAGAAGCGAATAATGCCGCTTGGCAATTTGAGGTTCGGGTAAGGTTAGCTTGGGTGGCTAGGGTACCCAGCTGTAGCTGTATCTATGCATTGAGGGCTCAGAGAACTGCGGTTTCATTCTACAGCCACTTTTGTTGTTAAGCTGGCCCGACCAGCGGTGGCAGGCATGCTTGCATTGAGACCATTTCTGGACAGCTTCGGTGTCACAAGATCGGTTGTTTTATAATAATCAGAACTAATGGCTTGGTTGAGCCATGTCAGTCAGCATGCAAAGCGGGATCTGAACCTTTTCATTTGCTGATTACGCTTCGTTCAAACAGCAGCTAAACATTGAATTGAAGGTGCGTGTTGCTTATATCCTACTTACAACCACGGCTAGTTGGCTTAGGGACCTACAAGTGGGTTATAGCTACAGTTCGTACGTAGGATCACCCATGAATGCAGAATCCCACTCGCTAAAATTGAGGCTCTGGGCTCGTCTTGGTAAAGTTTATATATCCTCTATATAACCCATTATTATAGTAGTTTCCATTTTCTTTTCCATTATCCGCTATATAACCCTATATAATATAGTAGTCACTTCTAAGATTGTTCCGTCCTTGTACTTTTTGCCATCAGTGGCCATCAGCGGCTTCACGAGTTAATTGGGGCTCAGAGCTCAGGTCAAGATGTCAAGAAGGCTTCTACTTTGGATTCCAGCTGGTTTCGAAGTGTCACGGGCTGCCGCCACATCCTCTTTCGACATCAAATACTGCCTTAACGGAAAGTTGGCCCCGAAGCTCAACATCCAAAAACAGCCCTTGATCTTCAGCACCCGGTTTGCTAAGGAAGAAAGATGACTACATAGCCATCCAAGACCCAAACTGGGAGAGGCGTGGCTTGGGTTTGGGGTTTACATGAGTCCAACTTGAGGCTTTGTGTCCAATGTTCGGATCGGATTGCAGGGTTCCATAGCTTTGGCCCAAATGGCAGCTGCGAGCATTTCATTCCATATGAGTTCTAAAACAGGGAAGCAGGGTTTGGGGAGCGACTCCAGAGCGAGCGGTTGGCAATGATATTCCCGAGCGTCCTTGCATGTTTGTTATGTTCGGAGCTATCTGGTGCCCTGATTTTTCAGTAGTTTTACGCTTAACAAAGGCTTGACCAGAAACGCTGGTTGGCAAATTTCTCCGAAGATGGCGTCTTGGCGCTGACGGACTTTCAACTAGGTCGTGGATAAGGGTCTCCCGTCTTGGGGCTGATTGTTTCGGGATTGTTTCTCCGAATTTTGGTGATGTAGCTAGAGACCTTTGGTAAACCCGCTACCAAACAAGCAACACAACAAGTGCCTGATCCAACATTGCAAGGCTAAGCTTGGGGCCTGGCACCCAAGGTATACCATGTGTTGCATTCCCAAGCCTTAGCGCATTGTCATTACACTTCACTAAACCAGGCTACAACTAAACCAGGCGACACTATACTACACTAGACTTCTGGTGGCAGGTATTTCTTTCCCGACTTCTCCTTCCTCAACCTGCAGGATGAGGCTAAGAAACTCCTGGACAGCAAAACTTTGCTTTGGAGCGGTCCAAAGGGTGGATTCGTGTGCTGCTCTGTCACTCAGCTCAAGCTCCGAAGAAGCCTGGGGATGATAGCTGGATCATTGATGGAGATGACTGCTGAGTTCTCATGTTTCATGCTATCCCAACAAGGAACTGGGTCATATGCTGAGCAGATATGGAGTCGGTGGCGTAAACTGACAGTGCGGCCTTCGGACATGCGGGCCGGCCATAATTCCCAAAGTCCAAAGGACAAGGTCAGTATCCACTGTAGCATCATGACATGGAAATCTAACCATGTTTACATGCTTCTGCACACTTGTTGCTCACATTTCTTTCGTAGTCAACACATGGCAGAGATTGCTGCCATGCTTTCACTCCCACCACCAATTGTAAGGGATGCATCAATCGGAAGTTGCCTTTCGCTGCCCTTATTCCCTTCGAGGGTAAGCCACATTGTTTGAAGTTTTAGATCTCCCTATCTTAATGTTTGATTGGAGCAGCGCATGCCGGAAACGAGGAATCTGCGCAACTCTGCACCCTCACATCAAAGGCTAAATTTAAGATAGCTGCAGGTTCATGGGTTGTTATAAGACCTGCTATATGGTACAAGTAGAATGATTACTTGCTTTGGCCGACTCAGGGTACCTGTTCAATCCCACTTAGAAGTACCCATGAACCTTTCATTACACAAGGATACACATGAAGACGCTTGATTCAGGAGCCTGCACATGCTTGACGGTTCTTGCAACATGGACACCCAGATGAATTGCACATGAAATTGTATGTTTGTTTTTTGCCTTGTGCGCTGCGTCGTCCAGTATGCCCTTAATCAAGCCGGTATGGTTGTTGGCCCGGCCCTCATTTGCCAGATTTCCCTCACTGTCCTACAGCAGGAGCCTCGTTTCAACATACAGGCACAGATCGAAGTTTCAACATGTAGGGTTTAATCAAAGGGTGTTGGCTTTTTTCAGAATGCCACAGCACAATGCTTTTGATTTCAAGCAGCCCACATAAACGTAATCAGAAGTGACCTGACAACAACGATACGAGTAGCTACAGCGGGAATAGGGAATTGCGGCACAGACGTTCTAACAGTGTTGCCACACCATGTTAGCCTTTTCTGACCTTTTGCAGCTGAGGTCAAGTACGATGCCACCTTCCAAGAAGGTCTTGAGTTGAAGTACTTCCCACTGGATCGCCAACTCTGCAGGACGAAAAGCTGAAAGTCGATAGTTTTTGACATGACCAGGAACACACGAAACCGGCAAGTGTTGTTTTTCTGCTTCTGGCTTGGCTTGGGGTGGTAATTGCATTATGTATATAGTATATACATACATATATACACATGATTTTTTTTTCTGGAAGACTGATTATCAAGGGTTGAGGGATGGGGAAGGTTTTTTTTCTACCAGAGGCTCTTTGGGCATTTTTGGCCTATGAAAAGGAGGACTGACTATCAAGGGTTGAGGGATGGGGAAGGTTTTTTTACCAGAAACTCTTTTGGCATTTTTGGCCTATGAAGAGGAGGGCTGATTATCAAGGGTTGAGGGATGGGGAAGGAGGCTCTTTTGGCATTTATGGCCTATGAAGAGAGTAGTTCAGGCTCAGATGCCCAGACCAGACCCTCAGGAGGATCCAAGCAAAATAGTATGACCTCCCAATAATCCCATAATTTCTCCAATGGAGTCATGAATTCGGTTTTAAGGAGGTCCACTTTTAGGACCCATTAAGGGTCTGGATGTTGAAGTTTCTTCAGCGGCCTGAAACCAACTCAGTCCTCAGGATCACCATCTCAGCCGAGAAGCCGGTCCAGGATTTTCAGCATCTTCACAGAACTTTAGTTAATGTAGAAGCTTCAAGAAGCAGAACAGGGCTGTGGGGTTTATTTGGGTCTAGCTATATAGAGATTGCAAAGGGATACTGTTGGTAAGTTTTTTGGGATTCCAGAGTATGATCTTCGTTCACCGCTGCCTCTAAGTAACCGACTTCCTTAAATTCTAGAGATCACTCCTTCAAGTAGTTTCTGAGACAGCGCTTACAATTTGGCATATGAAAGGTTTGGAAGATAGCATGTGGAGCGTCCTTGCGAATCGTGATTGCTGAAAGCTGTAGCTACACCACTTAATCTTGCATCACAAGGCCAGCACATGTTGTGCTGTTGTGTCACACAGGGCGTAGGCGTGAAAGGATTTGATGGTTAGCAGTTTGCGAGACCAGCTGAACGCTGGAACATCCCACACTTTGGAACGCGCCATGCAAGGTTCGTTCCCGTCCACGGCAAGAAAAAGATCAGTCAGCTCTGCGACATGTGGGGAACCGATGATGATACTTTGCTGCCATTCAGTGTTCCAGGTTTAGTGCTTCACATGCTTTTGTTATGGCAGAATATGTCCAATGATTAAGAAACCTAATCTTAAAGAGCTGCCAAGAGCACACCTATCAAATGGATGGTTTTGTACCCAGCATTGATCATGGCCACTTGATAGCCAAAACTTACAAACACCTGAAACCCTAAGCTCTACTGTGAGCCTTGAAACCCTTGAGCTCCGAATCCTGAACTCGAAAGCCCGCAGTCAAGGCCATCCAGGAGAAGTGTACGGTTTACGTACGTCACTGCGATAGGCGCGGGCGGTGCTGTGCTGTGTGCTGATAGGAAGTAAAGATGAAACTTTATGCAAGGTTAATTTCAGGCTCCAATTTTTGTGGAGGATTCGATGTACAGGTTGAAAAACGAAGTTTTGGGTCAGGGGGTCGCGGTTAGTAAAGACACATCATATTCACGTTAGGGGAGCATGGTCTCCTTAGTAGGCGATCCTTCCAAATCACAGCAGATCTTGATTTTTCCTATGCTGCCCGAACAATGGTTTCTGAAGGCTCTGTCAGTGCTCTGCCAAGGAACCCAAAACACCTTTGTCAGATTTACACCCAATTTCGCAATCATTCATAGAAGGCGACTGGGCCCTAATGAAGATCGCATGGTGGCAGTATGACTTGTGAGGGCCCACACAAGAATTTGACTTCAAGGCAAGTCTGATATGCAAGGCTTCTGTTGACAGTAAGCTAGGTGCTAGGTACTTGGTTGAGCAGGCGATCACCTAGCATAATGCGAGAGTAGAATGTTGGCAGAGGAGTAAAGGGATAGTCCTGGAAGGCATGGCCGCAAAGATGTAGAATCAGGTCGGGCAGAGCCCTAGAACATCAACCTTCAAAAGCTCAAACATGCCTTCGCTGGAGCAGGCTGTTCCCATACGATGTGCAGCGCTCCTGTGTAAAGGTCCTCTTCCACCTGGAACGCAAAGGTGCCTTGTTCAAAGCATTGGCATGTAATGGGGCATGGGAGATCCATTACGCAGGATCTCTTGATGTCGTGAACGTCCCTCAAAAAAAGAAACCTCAGTACTTGCCATACTGTGGAGGTGACTACTACTTTCACAGCGTTCTCGTCATGGTTTTCCTGGTGAACATTATCAGCCTGTGTGCTTTCTCGATTCCGTTAACCGATGCCAGCGGCCGACTAGGCCATGTCAGTACATCCTTCCTGGCCGTCCTAGCATATCGTTATGTCATTGACGAGTCGCTGCCGCGCAAGGAGTACCTGACGGCCGCAGATGTGTATATCATCTTTGCCTGCAGCTTTCAAGTCGTCATTTGCATTGAGACTGTGATCCTCTCACTCTTGATTTCTCAACTTGATGAGGAAGCCGAATCGATCTTCAGAACATACACATATATCGATCGTTCCCTGGGCACCGCGCTTCTGGTCATTTGGCTTGCTGTGAATGCCTACCTGCGCTATCTGTGGAAATCCGGCCAGAAGGAAACCTGGCAGAACGTGTACAAGAGCAACAAAGAGCCTTGCATCATGTTAGTTTAGTTTTTGACATCTTCGGGTTTTTTGTTGTTTCTATGTATTAAAGGCATTTAGATCAAACATGAACAAGGTGGCATAACACATGCAAGGAGCCCTATGCGCCCATTGAGACGTGCGCAGCATGCGGCCACCAATCCCTGAGCAAGCAGTGCCAGCACAGCCACACGGACAAGAGCTGTTCAAACTGTGGTTCCAAAGCCATCGAAACAGCCCTCCCATTCTTCAGAATTTTTGAAGTCTTCCGACCTTTGTGGGGCTTCTGCTTACCATTGAGATGTTCGTGTTTTCCTGCTTGTGCTGGCGAAGTAAGGTTTATTACACGCCACACGACCGGTCACCCATCGTTCCGCCCCAACGCTTTCCACCGACGCCACCGGAGCTCAAAGAAGCCAAAGCGACGGCTGGGATGGCTGCAACATGGACTGCGCCTAACAGGGCGCTCCCACCGTTCAGTGCTGCTGCGCGGTCATAAGCATAGCATTCATTTTTACCTGTTTTGAGTTAGGCCGAGCTTAATATCAACACGATTTTGTTTTAAGCACCGGCACACGTCCCTAGTAAACCACAATGATCCGATATCAGTTGCAAACGTGGTCACCTGATCATGGGCTAAGTCTGTTTTCCCGATTCATGCACCCACCCCGAACTTGTAAACTTAGATTTTCTTAGTACTTACTACTGTAATGTGAGCGTCGTTGTAACAACCCCCCTCCCCCCCCAATTTTCGGGCGCACCAATCTCAAAACAAAGATCCAGAAAATTGGAGTTCGCAATAAAAACTCCGGGGCCTGAGCTGACTCGGGGTTCAGTGGAGTAAGAGTAAGGGTAGGAGCGCGGTTAAATACGAGATTGATAATTTCTGACATTTCTGCAGTCTGGGAATTTGCAGGCTTGAATCTACTTTGGACTGGTTTGGTTGAAAAAGTAATTGAGGTTCAAGTCATGAATGCAGAAAAATTCAATAGCAATGGTAAAAATTAGGAAGCCACCTTCGGGTGACTTTGTTAGTGCCACCCCGTTATTAATGTGATCTGGGCGATTTGTAAAGGGTAGCCTTTGGAGATTTGTTTGGAGTTTGGATTTGACAAGCAGCTTAGTAAGAAATCGATACTTTGTGGCAGTTCTGCAATTTAGGAATTTTGCATACTTGAACCTACTCTGGACTGGCTTGGTTGTAAAAATGATAAGGGCTCGAATCACCAAAGCAGAAAATTCAACAGCAATGGCAAAACTAGGAAGCCACCTTGGGGTGACTTTGTTATTACCACTCGGTTATTTGTTTGATCTAGGAAGTTTGTAAAGCGCAGCCTTGAAGATTTGTTTGAGCTTGCATTTTAAAAGCGGTTTCGTACGCAAGCGATGAATTCTGGCATTTCTGCAGTTTAGGAATTTGCACTCTTGAACCTAGTTTGAATTGGTTCGGTTGAAAAAAGAGGAATACAGGTTCAAATCATGAATGCTTTCTAATTCTAAGTTCAGTAGCAAAGGCAAACATTAGAAAGCCACGTCTTGGGACTTTCAGAAGGCAGAGAGGTACTTTCTCAATCAGCTGCGCCACTCTCTTGGCGTGCCTCTGCTGAGGTGAACTAAGTCCAGTGCTCTTTCGGATTCTACCTACCTCTGCACAGCGCCAAGCAAAAGAACTCTTCAGTCTGCATTATTTTGATTTGATTTCAATGGCGAACCATGATTTTTACACATTTTTTAGCCGGTGAATTTCGTTATTCCCATCCTTCTATATAATAGTCACCCCCTGAACGGCGAGTATGCGCAAGCAAATCATAGGTTCGCAAGTAAAATCAAGTAAAAATCTCAAATCTTAGGATTTTCTCTGGCCCGGTGAGTTCTAGTATTACCACACCCTTAATAATAACAACGCTCGCATGAATTCTTATAACTACTGTTACTGTTCTTGCTATTAGAATTCTTATTGCTATTAGAATTCTACTGCTACTATTATTGCCATTTGTTATTAATACGGCTATGTTTATTGTCAGTAATATTGCCAATATCGCTATTATTGCCAGGGATATTGTTCGTGCTGTCATCATTATCCGATCTGCTAAGTACTGACCTCTGTTGATTGTTTCTATTACGATATTCTGTTACTTTCACTGTGGATTTGCTCCCAACATGCTTCAGGCTTAGAACCTCATCTTGGGCGCAATCGTGCAAAGGAGCAAAAGAGCTGAGCGATTCCACGCCTTGACAGCCCAAAACCCATTCACGCAATCCTTAGTGCCCCTTGAATCCCTTTGTCATCCTCGCTTTGTGCCGGGGCTCCTTCAAGAAGCCCATTTCAAGAAATTCTTCGTTGAACCGAGGCGCGTTGTTTGGAAGGTTCATGATTTCCCGTACTGCGTTATGAAAGGCTTACTCAACAATAGTTTCGCGGCCTGTGAGAAAACGCAACCCCGTGAATGTGGGCCAGGTTGCAGTTGAGGCGATTGTGTGCCAACGCAGTGTGTTAGGTGAGCAGCACGGGCACAAAACCAAGCCAAGATCTTGCACTGCGCACTTCCTAGCGATTAGAGTTTTGAATCATTTGTTACTCACACATTCTCAACACACAGGCATGGTCCAAGACTAACAATTCCCGAGGACGTCGAATAGCAAGAACAGATTGGGGACCATGCTTTCGCATCTTTGCCCTGAATGAGTAAGCTTCCGCAAAATCCCAGTGCGACGTTTGTTCGCACAGTGCACCCACCAAAGTTCCTTGGCTTCTGAGGCGCACGATAATCTGGAAGAACGTAAAACCCTGTTCCAGGGCAAGCGCTGCCGCTTTCATATGGTTTGCTAAGCTTCAACACAGGCTGGATATATCTAGGTAGACAAGTTCTGATTGTTGGGGCACTGCAAAAGGATAAGGTCTAGCAATTTGTTGACCTTGCATCACGAAGTCAAGCTTTTTTTCTTTTTGTTTGCGTGACCATTTTGTTTAAGGAAGAGGTCTGGGTCTCGTGGCTTGCGCGAATTGGTTTTCCAAACTTGCAGATTCCTGACCCTTTGGCTTCGTGCCTTCAATTTCATGATATTTCTGCGTCATTTTTTTCTTTGCAAATTTTTGATTCATTAGATTTGATTTATTAACTTCAATATTGTCATTTATATTCCATTGGAAATCTGATGTTCTTCATATTAATTCTAGAACCATGCGATCCATCTGACGAAAAAAATTCTATCTATCAAATAGATCAATCTCATTATTTATTTTGAATACATATTCTTATTTCTTTCTTTTGATACTTCGATTTTTTTTTTAGCGATATGTAAGATCTTTCTGGAAATCTTATTATATAGATTTTTTGTTGATGTTTCTGGAAATCTTATTATATAGATTTTTTGTTGATGTTTCAATATTTCTCCATTTTTTGAGAAGATTTTCTTTTCGATATTGAATTATTCTTTTTGATTGTTATATCGGATTTATTTTTAAATTCATTTTCTGATATTTTTGATTGGTAAGATCGACATTATTTTGACTTATTTTTTGATTCTTATGCTAAATATTTCTATTGCCATCTTGATTTTCTTATATTGATAGATTTTATTTGAATTCTTTCATAGCTTCGTAAAAAATAAAATAGATTTTTTTGTTTGTTCAATTCTATCTTTTTTTTGTTATGTTCAAATATAATTATTATTATTTTCATTTTTTGTGTTTTATCGTATTTTCTGAATCTAATATTAATTATTGTTTGTTATTCTTATTTTCTTCTTTTCTATCGTTTGGATCAAATAAAATCATATAAATGAGATGGATTGATGATATTATTCTGATTTATGATTTTTTTTATTTTTGATATTTATTCTTATACAATCTATATATATTCTATTTATTCTATAAAATATTCGTGGTTGACTATTTTTCTACGATAATTTGACATCTTTACGAATATGATTTTTCACGAATCTTGTAATTATGAAAAAATATTGTTGTTTGTTTTATTGCATTTGGAAAATTAAAAAAGAATTATATGTTTTTTTCAAAAAAATACGTATTCTTTCTGAAAGTGCATAGATATTGATAAATTTTTGTAGATTTTGATTCATATTTCATTTCTCTTCTAAGATATTTTAAATAGGAAAAATAGAAGTTTATTAGAAAAATGTATGCTTACATCTTAAAAATGATATGTAAATCGATAAACTATATTTTAAATATAGATTTTGTAATGAAGTATATTGATTTGATCATAAATTTGATGGTAAAAAAGATTTCGTGATCGATATATTTTTATCATGGAATTTTCATGAGAATTATGAATTAATATTTGTTAGATATTCTTCTATTTTTTGAAATAATTATGATTGTCGGGTAGGAATGGAATTAGATCTTGCTAGGTCGAGCGAAATTGATTTTTTTTTTCCATGTATTCGTTGAATTCGACAATTTTTGGGAATCTAAAAAAAATTCGAATATATATTCGATTTCAAATCTCTTATGATTTACGAATATTATATATTTTGTCTTAAATAATGATAGATTCGTTGATGATTAGAGTCGACGATTTTTATATATTTTTTTATATTTCATTAAAATATATATTCTCTAAATAATATTTAGAATATGATTTTTGATTATTTTATTATATTTGTTAAGAAGGAAAAACATATTTTTTATTTCTTTATATCATATTCTAGATATAAAGGAAAAATTTCTATTTATATGTAATCAACTCTTCGTTCTTATACTTCAATCTCAAAAGAAATATATTCATATTGGAAAGAATTTAATTTGAACGCAGCTCGAGCGTATTCTGAGCATGGGAGGCGCTTCTGACCCATCACTCCCAAATGAGATAACAAATTACTTATTAGCTATTGTCTTTAGTCTAGATTACTAATCAAGCGAAGAAATACTAGGACTAAGTACGAATAATATCGTTTACTCCTATCCTGATTCTAAAAACAACTACGTGCTGGGCACTCAGCTGCTTCGTCGCTGGGGCTCCAGCCGCAAGCACATGAGGCTAGAAAGTCTTCTATTGAGCTCAGCATCTGTACTCTTTTCAGATTGCGAACCTGGCATGAAAGGCAGAAAAAGCCGCGATTATAGGCGATTGTAGCCAGCAGCACCAACTCCTGATCTCGCAAGACGAAATCTTTTGACTAGGCTAGACTGGGCTAGTGTGATCTCAAGAAATTTCTGCCCTCGGAGCTCTGGCTCGATATCTCTTGGTGTCCGGGTTGCGAACAAATATGGCTAACGAGGACGCCTGCACGCGCCTGTTGCAGGTTTGGCCTTTGACGTGGGGCGGGCCCAGCCTAGGTGCAGTGGCTATGGCTTTCCCACGCACGGGCACCTTACAAATACGCGATTAGTGCTGGCATGGCAGGCCAGCATGTACTTTTTTCTCTCGCTACAGACTAAAAAAAACTTAGGAAAAGGTCCTTATGATTGCGCGTCAGATCTTGGGGCCCTGCCTGAGTACGCGGATCAAAGTCCTCGCA